AAGTTTCAAGAATAATATACAAAAAAGATATAAATATGCAAATAGTCCTTAAATTAAGGGTATCATTTGCAGCATCTATGCGAATAATTATACTATTCTGGTGGACATATAACAAAAAGAGACGTTTGATCTGAAACAATACTTACAAAGCCATTCAATTCTTTTTCTCTATCAACGAGATTACGCAAGTCATYTGCAACAACATTTCTGATGGAAGATCCATCAAACCTAAGCACGTGATCAGTTTGGAGTGATGCTACATAGTCTTCGATCTAAAAACAGTACATTATTTCTATCACTATGTGTATGAAGTGCGCGTTTGGTTATTGGCAGCCTAGCTTACAGAAATCATTTAACCTCAGTTTGTCACTACACGCAAATGTAAGAATAACTTACCATCTTTGTTTCTTGTTGGCTAATTAAAACCAGCGAACTGTTTATCGTTCCAAATTTCTCTTTCCCTTTACGTAGACACGAATCTTGTTTTTATTTACRGTTTTGAAATCAGAAGGTTTGATTGTAATAAAAAATTAACAAAATTAAACTTACCAGTTATGTTCGGCTGCGATTTTTTCGAACCATCATTTTTAAGGCTAGTGATTTCAACCTGTCAAAGAAGCGGACGGTGTACGGACATCATTTTTTAATTTGTCGACCAAMGTTTTTCTTAATTCCAGTCTGTAACAATACTCACCTCGTTTTCTGACTTGCCATTCTCGGAYAAAGGCAAATCTAAATAAATATAAAAATAAGTTAACAACTCTAATTCATTTTGAAACGTCTTTTCAGATAACTTTCATGCAACTCACCGCCGACATCAGGCTTGCAATCTTCAATTCCTTCAATATTCTGATAGAAAAGTAGGTAGGCCTCTTTCTAGACGGATAAAAAAAAGATTAAAAGACCTATTTTTTATGTATGAGTAAAAGAGAAAATAAAAAAATGATACAAAAGTGCGGTTACCTTGCAAAGATCAAGAAGCTTTCCAGAGTTTATCTCA